GGGAGGAAGAACAGGTTAGGCAGGCAGGGACGAGCTGGACTGGTTTTGGGATGCGGTAGGGGGAGGGGAAATTTTGAAGCTTGTGAAATCCACATTGATACCATTGGGCTGCAGGGTTCCCAAGCGGAATATGAGTTGCTGTTCCTGCAACCTTTGGGTAGCATCGTTGTGGCACTGCAGGAGGCCCAGGATGGACATGTCGTCTGAGGAATGGGAGGGGGAGTTGAAATGGTTCGCGACTGGGAGGTGCAGTTGTTTGTTGCGAACCGAGCGTAGGTGTTCTGCAAAGCGGTCCCCGAGTCTCCGCTTGGTTTCCCCGATGTAAAGGAGGCCACAACGGGAACAGCGGATGCAGTATACCACATTAGCAGATGTGCAGGTGAACATCTGCTTGATGTGGAAAGTCTTCTTGGGGCCTGGGATGGGGGTGAGGGGGGAGATGTAGGGGCAGGTGTAGCACTTCTTGCTGTTGCAGGGAAAAGTGCCGGGTGTGGTGGGGCTGAAGGGGTGTGTGGAGTGGACAAGGGAGTCCCGGAGAGAGTGGTCCCTCCGGAAACTCCCTACCCTTCCTCCCACCTATCCCCTCCTCCCACCTCAAGTACCACCCCCATCTCCTACCTACTAACCTCATCCCGCCCCCTTGACCTGTCCGTCCTCCCTGGACTGACCTATCTCCTCCCTACCTCCCCACCTACACTCACCTTTACTGGTTCCATCCATGCCTCTTTGACCTGTCTGTCTCCTCTCCACCTATCTTCTCCTCTATCCATCTTCTATCCGCCTCCCCCTCTCTCCCTATTTATTTCAGAACCCCCTTCCCCTCCCCCATTTCTGAAGAAGAGTCTAGTCCGAAACGTCAGCCTTCCTGCTCCTCTGATGCTGCTTGGCCTGCTGTGTTCATCCAGCTCAATACCTTGGTATCCCAGATTCTCCAGCATCGGCAGTTCCCACTATCTCTGAGAATGAATGGATATTTGTGACCGGCACAGATATGATGGGCTGAAGGGAATTTTCTCTATAAAAACTCAATGACTCTATCACTGTAAATTTTCAACTAGGCCACGAAATGTCTTGATAAAGTACCCATTTGTCTTCAGTGGCAAATCACATTTGATTGTCATTGGCTAATCTTCAAGTTGGATGGATGTTAAAATATCGTATACTGAAAAAGATGAAGTTACCCCAATCTTACTAGATAGGGCTGCTCTCTCATTAGAGAGGGAGAGATAGAGTGAGAGAAAGATGGAGAGAGAGGTGATTGGTGATTTAACCAGAGGGTTACCAGACCACAGGCGAGGGGAGAGGTTGAGAAGGAGAGTCAGTCATCGTAACCACAGCCAGTGTAGGAATTGAACCCACCCTGTTGGCATCGCTCTCTATTTCAAACCAGCTAGTCAGCCACCCAATAACATATACTGTCAGAACAGAAACACTCACAGAATCCCTACAATGTAGAAGCAGGCCATTCAGCCCATCAGGTCCACAACAACCCTCTGAAAAGCAGTCCACCCAGACCCACCCCACTACCCTATCCTTAGATTTCCCATGGCTAACCCACCTAGCCTTCATCCCCTGTACACTATGGGTAATTTAGCATGGCCAATGCACCCAACCTACACATCTTTGGACTGTGGGAAGAAACCGGAGCACCCGAAGCAAAACCACTCGTCTGAACATAGGAAGAGACTTTTGCAACTCACGGAATTCCAGATAAAGCTCCTTCTGACAACAGAACACAATTTGGAAATGAAAGCTTTGAATGTGTTGTGGAAAGCTTTCGACCATATCAGAAATTCACCAAGAAACCCTCAATCGCGTGGTGATGTTAAAGGAGGAATCAAATCTTTTGCAAAAAGGCATGAAGATTTTCAAACAGCAACTATTGATCTACAGACACATCCCATTACACGAACACCTTCCAAATTATTGAAGGGAAGAAATCTCAAAAATCAACTTCCAATTCCAGCTCAGAGTTACGTACAGGTCTCCTAACAGGCGTCAGGATGTTGGGCAGAAAATAAATCAGGAGATAGAAAGGACACGTAAGAAAGGCACTGTTACAATAATCATGGGGGACTTCAACATGCAGGTGGACTGGGAAAATCAAGATGGCAGTGGATCCCAAGAAAAGGAATTTGTGGAATGTCTACAAGATGTTTTTTTGGAGTAGATTGTAGTAGAACCCAATAGGGAGCAGGCAAATTTGGATTTGGCGATGTGTAATGAAGCAGATTTGATTAGGGAGCTTAAGGTGAAGGAACTTTTGGGGGGACAGTGACCACAATATGATAGAATTCACCCTCCAGTTTGACAGGGAGAAGCTGGAATCAGATGTAATGGTTGAGTAAAGTTAACTACAAACATATGAGGGAGGAGCTGGCCAGAGTTAATTGGAAGGGGGAGCCTAGCAGGGAACACACTGGAGCAGCAATGGCAGGAGTTTCTGGAGGTAATTTGGGAGACCAAGCAGAAATTCATCCCAAGGAAGAAGAAACATATTAAGGGGAGGACGAGGCAAACGTGGCTGACAAGGGGGAAGTCAGGGACAGTATAAAAGCAAAAGAAAAAGCATGTAATATGGTGAATACTAATGAAAAGCCTTTAAAAAGCAGCATAGGATAACTGTATATTTTCAGATATATAAAGGGTAATTTATGTAAAAGGGCGACAGAATACAGCAAATGGCAGAACGCTTTAAATCATTAACATACAGAGGGATCTAGGCATACAGATCCACAGTTCCCTGAGAGTGGAAACGCAAGTGGATGAGACAGTCAAGAAAGCATTTCGCACACTTGCCTTCATTGGTCAGGGCATACAGTATAAAAATTTGCAAGTCATGTTGCAGCTGTATAGAACTTGAGTGAGGGCACATTTGGAATTTTATTTTTCTATATTCATTCATGGGATGAGGGCATTACTGGCTAGGCAGCATTTATTGCCCATCCGTAATTACCCAGAGAGCAGTTAAGAGTCAACCACATTGCTGTGGGTCTGGAGTCACATGTAGGCCAAACCAGGTAAAGATGGCAGTTTCCTTCCCTAAAGGACATTAGTGAACCAGATGGGTTTTTCTGACAATCAACAATGGATTCACGGTCATCATTAGATTCTTAATTCCAGATATTTTATTGAATTCAAATTCCACCATCTGCCGGGGTGGGATTTGAACCCGGGCCCCCAGAATGTTATCTGGGTCTCTGGATTAACAGTTGCAGTGATAATACCACGAGGCCATTGCCTCCCCCAAATATTGCGCACAGTTCTGGTCACTGCACTATAAGAAGGATGTAGAAGCTTTGGGGAGGGTACAGAAATGGTTTACCAGGATGTTAAATAAAAACCAAGAGAACTGCGGACGCAGGACATCAGAAACAAAAAGAAAAACTGCTGGAAAAGCTCAGCAGGTCTGGCAACATCTGTGGAGAGAGATCAGAGTTAACGTTTTGGGTTGAGTGACTCTTCCTCAGTTTGGGCTGAACTCCTCTCTGTGCCTCATGCTTGTGCAGTGATATCTCTCAAGTTATCCAGGACCAATTGTCTCTTTCTGTCGAAACCCCCTGTTTCCTGCCTCTGAGATATTTCCCAGTTCAAAAGATTATAACGATTTACACTCTTAGTCTGCAAATGAGAAGGCTCACAGTTTTGTTGAGACTGGGGCAGTCACACTAACTTGGTGTAGTGAGTAATGTCTCTTTCTGTTAGTTTGTTGTGTTATACTTTAAACAATTTAATCATGACTCAGAACATTGTGTCCCCATAAATTCTAATTTGCTCTAATGGGTTTCCTGAAACATTGGATTCGAAATTGGACACATTAAGGAGAACGATGCCTATGGTACTGCAGCTAAAATCCTCATCTTAACAAATCGTTTTAATTGTAAAACTGATAATGGTATAATTTCATATCTGCTTATCTACATGCACTGTAGTCACATACAACAACACCTTGCACTTACATAGCAGTACTAAAGCAAGAGATATTCCAAAACACTTCCAAACAAAAGTTGAGATATTTTTTATTCGATTTACTACTGTCACATGTACTGAAACACAGTGAAAAGTATTATTTTGCAGCTAACCAGATAAATCATACCTTACGTAAGTACATCAGGGTAATAGAACAGAATGTTGAATATAGTGTTACAGCTACAGAGAAGGTGCAGAGAAAGATCAATTCTAATATATGAGAGGTCCATTCATAAGTCTGATAACAGCGGGGAAGAAGCTGTTCTTAAATCTTTTGGTATGTGTTTTCAAACTTTTGTATCTTCGGTCCGATGGAAGAGAGTGGAAGAGAGTATAACCGGGGTGGTGAGGGGTCTTTGATCATGTTGGCTGCTTTCCCAAAGAAGCGGGAAGTACAGATGGAGTCAATGGAAGGAAGGCTGGTTTTTGTGATGGACTGGGCTGTGTTCACAACTCTCTGTAATTTCTTGCGGTCTTGGGCAGAGCACTAGCCATAACAAGCTGTGATGCATCTGGATAGGATGCTTTCTATGGTGCATCTGTAAAAATTGGTAAGGGTTATTAAGGACATGCCGAATTTCCTTAGCCTCCTGAGGCTGTAGACGCGTTGGTGTGCTTTGTTGACTGTAACGTCGATGTGGATGGACCAGGACAGATTGTTGGTGATATTTACTCCTCGGAACTTGAAGCTCTCGGTAATCTCCACCTCAGCACCATTGATACAGACACGGAGAGTGTCCTCCCCTCTGCTTCCTAAAGTCGTTTTCATCATAGATATTTGGCCAACATTTATTGCCCATCCCTTTTTTCCCAGAGGGCAGTTAAGAGTCAACCACATTGCTGTAGGTCTGAAGTCACATGGAGGCCAGACCAGGTAAGGATGGCAGTTTCCTTCCCTGAAGGACATTGGTGAACCAGATGGGTTTTTTCAACAATCAACAATGGGTTCATGGTCAGTGTGAGGCTAGATTTTTGTTAATTTTAAACTTCACTATTTGCCATGGTGGGATTTGAACCGGTGTCATTAGGCATTATCCTGGGCCTCTCAAGGCCAGTGCCTTAACCACAACTTCTAGTCCCTCTTTATGTTGAGCAATGCTGTAGGCAGAATGAGCAGCATCTTGGTCAAAGAGATCATTGCAGGGCGAATCTGAAAAGCACAGAGTGAGAAATCAAAAGGTCGAGAGCAAATTCTGCAGAATGGGTGCCCGACAACTGGAGACCCGCAACTGAAGATGGAGCAAATCAACTCAGGAAAATGCAGAAGGCCAGAATTTGAAGGAGTACAGATATCTGTGAGGATGGTGGGTACAGGAATAGAGAGGGTAAAGGCTGTGGAATGATATTAAGAGAAAGGCACTTGTACTCCATAGCAACACTTGTCTTAAACAAAGAACAGTACAACACAGGGAACAGGCCCTTTGGCCCACGAAGCCTGCATCAACACATGATGCCTTTCTAAACCAAACATCTTTTGTGTCCATGTGGCCCTTAACCCTCTATTCCCTGTCTATTCATGTCTCTGTCAAGGTGCCTGTTAAACGTTGCTATTGTATCTGTCTCCACCACCTCCTCTGGCAGCACATTCCAGGCACTTACCACCCTCTGCGTAAAAAACCCGTCTCTCACATCTCCTTTAAACTTTCCCCCTTTTACCCTAAACTTATGCCCCCTAGTCATTGACATTTCTACCCAGGGAAAAAGGCTCTAACTATCCATTCTATCCATGTCTCTCATAATCTTGTAAACATCTATCAGGTCGCCCCTGAGCCTCTGGCATTCAAGTGAAAACAAACCAAGTTTGTCCAATCTCTCCTCATAGCTAATACCCTCCAAACCAGGCAACATCCTGGTAAACTGTTTCTGTACCCTCTCCAAAGCCTCTAAATCCTTCTGGTAGTGTGGCGACCAGAACTGTACACAATATTCCAAATGTGCCATAACTAAAGTTCTATACAGCTGCAACATGTCTTGTCAATTGTTATACTCAATACCCTGACCAATGAAGGCAAGCGTGCCATATGCCTTCTTGAAGATCCTCATCCACTTGCGTTGCCCCCTTCAGGAATTGTGGATGTGGATCCATCTGTATGTTCAGGCTACTGAGGGTTTTGCCATTTACAGTATACATCCCTCCTGCATTAGATCTTCCAAAATGCATCACCTCGCATTTGTCTGGATTACATTCAATTTGCCATTTCTCTGACCAAGTTTCCAGTCTACCTATACACTGTTGTATCCTCTGGTAATCCTCCTCACTATCTGCAGCTCCCTCAGTCTTTGTATCAGCTGCAAACTCACTAATCAGGCCACTTACAGTCTCCTCCAAATCATTTATATTACAAACAACAGGAGTCCTATGACTGATACCTGTAGAATAGCACGGATCACAGATCTCCAGTCTAAAAAACATACTTCCACTGCTACTGTCTTCTATGACTAAGCCAGTTCTGTACCCACCTTACCAGCTCAGTGCCAGTTCTGTACCCATCTTACCAGCTCAGTGCCGGTTCTGGATCAGTCTACTATGAGGGACCTTGTCAAAAGGCCTTGCTAATGCCCATGTAGACAATATCCACCACACTGCCCTCATCAATCATCTCTGTCACTCCCTCATAGACTCAATCAAGTTTATGAAACACAATCTCTCCCACACAAAACCATGCTGCCTATTGCTAATAAGTCCATATTTTTCCAAAAGTGAGTAATCCCATCCCTAAGAATCTTCTCTGAGACTTTCCCCACCTTTGACATTAAGCTCTCTGACTTGTAATTTCCTGGATTATCCCTATTGCCCTTCTTAAAAAAAGGAACAATATTGGCTATTCTCCAGTCTTCTGGGACATCTCCTGTGACTAAAGAAGATACAAAGATTTCACACAAGGCCCCAGTAATTTCCTCAACTTTCTCTCTCAACATTCTGAGATAGATCCCATCAGGTCCTGGGGACTTGTCTGCCTTTAATGCTTTTCAAAACACCCAACTCCTTTTTTATATTGACATACCCCAAAACATCAACACAGCTCTTCCGAGACTCACCAACTACCATGTCCTCCTTTGTGAATCTCGATGGAAAATATTCTGGTGTATTCTGGGAATGCTGGAAGTAAGGAGAGAATTTTAAACCACATCCTGAACTGGAGCAATAATGGAAACTGGCTAAACTCCTGTCCTTAACCTGAGGCCTGGTTATTGAGGCCTCTGCTGTGCCAGAGCAAGAGAGACCTTACAGGCCCCACCAGGCAAAATTGGGCTTTTCTTGTGTGGTTTTCCCTCCTGTCACACCGTGATTCCCGTCACCAGGGCCAGCAATCCATTTGCTTTTTCTCCCTCCTCCAATTGCAACATCTTGCATCCCTCTCTTTCTATATCACTCCACCTTTTACAGTGCAACCTCTGAATGCTGGAATTTACCACAAACCTTGTCCCTCTCTGCACCTCTCTCCACCTCTAAGAAGCTTCTTTGTCAGGGTTTTGGTCACCTGTTTAAAGATTTTCTCATGTGACTCTACGTTTCCATTACCCTCGCAGAAGTGATGTACAGAATTGGCTCTGGAGATGAGGGAATTCTGGTTATGAGGATGGATTGAAAAAGTTGGGACTGTTCTCCTTGGAGAGAAAAAAGTCGAGCACACAAGAAATAGGAGCAGGAGGAGGCTGTTCAGCCCCTTGAGCCTGCTCCACCATTTAAAACGATCATGGCTGATCTCACCTCAGCCTCACCTCCACTTTCCTGCCCGCTCCCCATAAACCTCCAACCCGTTACTAATTAAAAATGTGTCTGCACCCTCCTTAAATTTACTCAATGTCCCAGTATCCACTGTGGGAGTGAATTCCACAGATTCACAATCCTTTGAAAGAAGTAATTTCTCCTCATCTCTGTTTTAAATCTGCTATCCCTTACCCTAAAACTATGACCTCTCGTTTTGGATTGCCCCACAAAGGAGATTTGGCTAGTTTTCCCAAACCATGAATGGGCTTAAAGTGATGTGCAAACGAAGCGAAGGGTGATGTAACAAAAAAAAAACAATTTTCACGCAGAAAATAAATTGGGTCTGGAATGCACCGCCTGGAAATGTGGTGGAGGTGGGGTCAACTGTAACATTCAAGTGTGGCACTGGATGGTCATTTGGATAGAAATGGTGTGCAGGGATATGGGGAAAAGGCAGGAGATTGGCGCCAAATGATAGAACCATTGCAGGGGAGGTGATGGCCTAGTGGCATTATCTCCAGGCTGTTAATCCAGAGACCCAGATAATGTCCTGGGTTTCAATCCTGCCATGGCAGATGGTGGAATTTGAATTCAATAAAATATCTGGAATTAAGAGTCTAACGATGACCATGAATCCTTTGTTGATTATTTGGGGAAATACCCATCTGGTTCACTAATGCCCTTTAGGGAAGGAAACTGCCATCCTTACCTGGTCTGGCCTACATGTGACTTCAGACCCATAGCAATGTGATTGACTCTTAACTGCCCTCTGGGCAATTAGGGATGGGCAAGAAATGGTGCTTAGCCAGTGATGCCCTCATCCTATGAATGAGTAAGGAATGAAAAGGCATAATGGGCCAAATAGCCTCATTGTATGCCGTCACTATTCTGTGATGTGAAATTGGGTCTAATAAACACTCCTGCAAAGTACCATGGAGATGTTTGACCGTATTAATGACATTCCACCATTACAGATTGTTGTTGCTATCCCATTGTTGAGGAGATCTTGTAACACAATGTGCAGTCCTCCTGCCCCTCATTCAATAGCTCTTGGTCTGAGTCTCTCTCCAGGACCTGATGGTCAAGGAGCAAAATAGATTTGGTATCAACTTATAAGGTAAGAGCAGAATAAGCTCCTGATCGGTAATTGGTGGGGAAGAATGTAAACCTTGTACATTTTATCTCCAGTCTATAGCTAAAGTGTTATTGATATGATCTTGGTGCACCCCCAAAGCACATTCAATGTAGTGAAGTGTAGAATAAACCTTTGCCTTCCTTGACTTGGTATTTGAATTCGGCATCTCTTAAAGCCTGGTACCCTGGGCAACCATCCAGTTTCTGATTGGTCAGGCCAGCCCTGATGACATGCACATTGCCATGGCAACTTGGTCTCCATTAGTGAACCATAGTGCCTTGCCATAACATCATCACAGCTCTCAAGATGTTACATTCATGCATCATTTATCTAATGAGAAACAATCATTTATTTTCCTGTTTCACTCTGTCTTTGATTTCTTGCCCCTTTCTTGTGAACTCCCCTTGTCTGACAATTGCTCTTAGTTAGGTGTCCTACCATCTCCGTACCCTGCAATGTTGAGGTGACATTTTGGCTGTAACCTTGGTAAAAGTGGTTTGCTTGGCACAGACAGAGTTAAATGCAGCGAACTCTGCCCGCTAGCACTGAAAGGCTTTCTGACATGGCACGGCTAGATATAAGGGAAAACAAACAATGAGGGGAATAAAAGTGAAAGGAAGGCTGACAAATCTTCATTTATAGAACAGAATGATCGCAGGTGATCCTTATGTCGGACAGATTAGATTCTAGAGTGAAACCTGGCCTGTTAGAGTCAGGGAGTGATGGCCTCGTGGTATTATCTCTGGACTATTAATTCAGATAACATTCTGGGGACACAGGTTCAAATCCTGCCACAGCAGATGGTGGAATTTGAATTCAATAAAATATGTGGAATTAGGAGTCTAATGATGACCATGAGTCCATTGCCAATTGTTGGGGGAAAAGCCCATCTGGTTCACTAACGTCCTTCAGGGAAGGAAGCTGCCATCCTCACCTGGTCTGGCCTACATGTGACTCCAAACCCACAGCAATGTGACTCTTAACTGCCCTCTGGACTATAAATGCCGGCTTAGCTAGTGACACCCTCATCCTGCGATTGGATAAAAAAATACTTCAGTCTTGAAATCATACAATGTTTTGGCCTCAACTGCTTTCTGTGGTAATGAATGCCACAGGGTTCCAACTCTCCACGGGGGGAAGACATTTCTCCTCATCTTAGTCCTAAATGGTTTATCCTTCATCCTTAAACCATGACCCCCTGGTTCTCAGTGCCAAGGCATTCAAGGCTATGGACCAAGTTCTGGAAAATGGAATTAGAATAGTTAGGTGGTTGGTTTTAACCTGCTGAGACTCGATGGGCCAG